TGCCTCATCTATCACCCGTGCCTGCGTCTGCACAGGATCCGTGTATCTTCTCACCAGGGATTCCTAACAGATTATTAACCAGAATTTGGTCTTCAAAGACTGATTAAAACAAGGGTTCTCAAATGGTTCAACATTTGGAGGAAATGAAGGATGACTTAAGATGATAATAACAACTGACATGACAATTATTCTCTTCTTCTCTTTGTCTGTCTGTCTTGTTACACCACTGTTCTTCAGTGTCCTGTTTACCCTGTAATCTAACCCATTAATGGTGCTATTCCATCCTTTGAAGGCTGGCTAATGATCTCGATGTGAATGCCCAGTAACTGTTGGCTGTTTTTTGTTTATTATTGTGGCTCTAATCATTTAACAAGAAGATTTTTGCTCATCATTAACCTGATCTAAACAAAATAATATTTCTGAGCTAAATAAATATCTACTAACTGTATTTTCAAAGCTCTCATTTTACATAAAAGACAATGAATGACTTATACTTATTCTTCCTCCTTTATTATTTGTTAAAAGTGATTTCATTTCAAATGGAATAAGCAAAAAGGATTTTTCACTGCTCACTGCATTCATAGAATGACTGACATTTTGAATGCAAAGGAACTTAATTTTGACAGATGTTTTGATAAATTAAGTATATAGTATTTTCAACAATACTAATAGGTATTTTTAGACTTTTTTCCAAACATAATTTTCTACTAACAAACCTAACATACAAATATATTTCTATGGCAACATAATAAAGTTGTATTACCTACATAGAGATCCAGCCATTCAGAAAGCATGGTGAATAATGCAGCAAAATCCAGTGGAAGCTTTAAAAAAATTGTTCTATTGCAGGACTGCACTCCTTTGTAAAACCACCAGGTGGCGCAGTAAATGCTTAATGTGGCATGTGGAAGAATTTGGACTGTCACCAGAAAATACCTGGTTTTGAATACAGGTCAATGCTGAGCCCCTTATAGAAGTGAAGTTGTATACTGTTTCAACTTTTATAAATTTTATAGTGTATACTACAGTATGTTAAATATTAAATTAATTTTAAACAGGGCTATATAAAAAAACTCAGTAACTCAGTTGAATATATAAAAATAGCCCAATGTGCTTCTTTCAGGTTCACATCTGCATTTTAATAATTTATATTTTGTCAATCTTTTTATTTTGACATATCTTTTTGTCTTTGTCTTAATGCAAATTTCAGCAGCAAGTAATCATGGACAATTAAAAAAATGATTATAAAAAATATATTCTGTACTGTATTGGCTTTAAATGTACAGTATTTTTATATAGTATACCGATCATTAACTTAGGCAATCTGTGATTCGCAAGTGTGGGACTTCATAAACTGTAGTCTTTATTCATGTATTCGATTCACATAGCCGAAATTTTAAAAGTACAAATTGTGAATGAAATATGTTCCATTATATATAGACCATACCATTTTATGTGATAACGGAGTTGCACCACCTTTAATCACTGAATGTGCTGTTGAAAGTAGTGTTTTTGCTGCTTGTATCTCTAGATGAACTGTACAGTAACGGTTATGCTGTGGTACTGAGGTTCAAGGGCGAATT